AAATACCTCGTTTTCTAGGACTCAGATGTGATTACAAGAAATAACGTTTATGTAATTTTATCTACAATGGTTCTATTCATTTTTACGTACCACAAACTGTTTTAACGTAAACAAGCGGCGAGTTTCCGTAGAAAGCGTATGCTCCATTCCGTGCACCTCCGTTGAGGTAGGATATGGAGTTATACAAAAAACATGTAATGTTTTATAAAAAACATTATTAAATTGTCTATTTTAATATTTTGCTTAAAACAACAAAATTAAGCGCTTAAAAAAAGAAAATCTGATATGATTTATTTAGAACTAAAAAACTTTTATGACTGCAGCCCCGAAGCTTTAGGCGTTTGTGCCTCCAAATGCTTTGAATATATCAAGCTGTGGTCTGTAATAAAACTCAAAATTCACTTAATTTCTAAATGGCACATTTTGAATTGAACACTGAATCTATGATATGTGCAAGACTACGAGGGTTGCCTTTTATATTTCAGGATTAGAGAACAAAAACAAATATTAATCATCGAAAATCACTTTAATGTTTTTCAAAATATTACCCATGAAGATCTATACACTTTTGCATGCGTTTGAACCAATTGTCGATGCACTTTTGCCACTCAGATTGAGGTATTTCCAAAACATGCATTCTGAATGCTGCAACCGCTTCTTCAGGTGTCGAAAAACGTTGACCTCTTAGTTTGTTTTTTACGTACGGGAATAAAAAGAAGTCATTCGGTGCCAAGTCAGGACTATACGTCAGATGACTCATCAAATCGATGTTTTGGGTGCTCAAAAATGCAGTTGTTTGAGCCAATGTGTGAGACCTCGCATTGTCGTGGTGAAGAGTGATCCGTCTTCGGCGGTTGGTTTTCCTGATTTCTTGGAAGACAGATGGCAAACAAATCGTTGTGTACCACTCAGAACTCTAGTGGTACGGTTGCGACTTGTCCAGTTTTTCCGAAAAAACAAGCGACCATCTGTTTGGAAGTGATTCGTGCGCAAACAACTTTTGTTGGATTTTGCTCATCTTGAACAACCATACAGTCGACTGCTGTTTACTTTCGGACTCATACGCGTATACCTATGATTCATCACCTATCACGATGTCATAGACGTGTTTCGAAGCACCGCGATCGTATGTTTTGAGAATTTCTTTCGACCAATCGACACGAGCCTTTTTTGAGCGTTTGACAAATTGTGTGGGATCCAACGCGAAACAAATTTGTTTGACAGTCAAATGTTCATGCAATATTGAGTGTATGCTGGTCCCACTAATACCTAAGGTTGTCTCAATATCACGATAAGTCACATGACGATCTTGCAATATCAGTTCACGCACAGCATCAATGGTTTTCGGAACAACAACTGATTTTGGACGACCTTCGCGAAATTCGTTTTGGAGTGAACTACGACGACGATTGAATTCACCATACCATCGATAAACACTGGTCCTTGATGGAGCTTTTCGCCAAAAATTGAATTAAGTTCATCCAGGCACTGTTGCTGAGTTATTCCACATCGAAAGTTGTAAAAAATAATCGCACGAAATTGTTCACGATTTAATTCCATTTTTGGGCCAAGATGAATCTTAAGTTACTGTAAACAACACAAGTAGGGCTCGTATGTCAAAACGTTCTGAGTACGTATAACCTCAAAACATCCAACTTTACGATAGAGCTGTCAGTTGCCAGATTGCAACACCAGGGTTGCCAAATCCCGAAACATAAAAGGCAACATTCGTATCAATCATGATCATTTAATTCTTCCTATAGGTCATACAACGTCGTATGTCTAAATACAAAATTAATCTTTTTTTTATAACAGTTGAATATTTGATCGCTACTGACATGAATATTTAATACTTCTTAAAGTGAAAAAGTTGATAATTGCGATAATTCGTTAGCATATCGGACTGTTATACCCAATTCAAACCCGACCGAAGCCGTAGATTTTTACGAGCGAAAAAAATTCTTCGAAGTCTTCCTTCGAAGGGGAAGTAAAGCCTGTTCTCTTATGTTAGTAGATTTACTCCATGTAAATTATCCTCCAGCCTGAAGGAAGCAGCAGTTTTTAACAAAATCTAAATCGCCTGTTTCATCGCCCGAAGGATGCCTCGCTTCTCCGCCAGAGGGTGAAATTCGGCATTTCATTCAAGTCTGTTCACTCAGAATGCTTTCTACGGAGTACTCAGAGTAGAGGATGAATTATTAGACCACACATGCCGAATGATTAGCATCTTTCGGAAGTTGTCTTCAGCGTATTCCTAGGGAGACACGTCACAAGGCACTTCACACTGGGTGACTTGATATTTACTTAGAGAGCATAGTTGGAATTGGGAACTTTGGATAAGCCAAGATGGGGTCTGTGGTGAGCGCTTCTCGTGATGTATAAAATGCTCTTCGGCCCTCCGTTCGCCAAAAAAAGGATACTTAATCTTCGGATCAGTGATGGAACGTTGGGGCCCGCAAGGCTCACAATGCAGCTTACTTTTAGACTGACTGGGGCTTTTGCGATTGTTTATGTAATCATAGACAGATAAATATGAATTTGTAAAAGAATATTTTTATTATTTGAGGAACTAACAGTACTTGTGTTTGCTATACACTGTTATAAAGGGGGCCCGAATAAACGTTTTGTGGGTGGGCATTCATTTCGTAACGGTACAGTTTTGGGTCATTCTTGATAAAATGTTGAAATTGTCTTAGAGGTTTCATATAAAAAATTAAAAGATTTTAAATTCGTAGGGGGTCGATTCGGACCAGGTCGAGCACGGAAAATCTTTTGTTGTCTTTAGGTTAGCTTTCTAGGATTCCCGAGCACCGCTTCCAGAGCAATTACCACGAAGTTTAATGTAAACTGCTTCAGGGTTCTTATCTCTCTCTTTCCAGGTTTTATGACACTTCGTACGATACCAGTGTCCGACGCAACATATACAGAAGGCCCATTCATAATGCAAACATAAATATAAGCACGGTGTTGACATAAAAGTTAAGACTGTTCATAAAACAATCAGTACGGTAAATCAAAATCGAGTATCGAAATAGCGAAGTCAATAGAGGAACTAACTGTTTACTCCGAGACTAGTAAATTTCATAAGCATTGACAGTTCATACTTGACAGCATGAGCGGTTATGAGCAGACGTCGAATACACAGATCTTCTATTCACAGTCGTCTGCAAACTTGCATTCAGAAAGGAAAGGAGAGGAAGAGACGATGAGGAAGAGCAAGAGGAGAGAGAGAGAGAGCGAGAGGGAGAGAGACGAGAGAGAGGAGGAGAGAGACGGGCGAGAGGAGGAGAAGAGGACAGGGAGAGATGAGAGAGGAGAGGAAGAGAGGAGAGGAGAGAGAGAGAGAGAGAAGGAGAAGAAGAGGAGAGAGAGAGGAGAGAGAAGGAGGAGAGAGAGGAGAAGGAGAAGCAGTAGGAGAGAGACCAGAGAGGAGGAGAGAGAGCGGAGAGAGAGAAGCGGAGAGGAAGAGAGACGAAGAGAGAGAGGAAGAGAGGAGAGAGAGAGGAGAGAGAGAGCGAGGAGACGGCGAGGAGAGAGAGAGAGAGAAAGGAGAGAGAGAGAGAGAGGGAGAGAGAGAGAGGAGAGAGAGGAGAAGAGAAGGAAAAGAAGAGGACGAGAGAGAGGAGAGAGAGAGGAGAGAGAGAGGGATGAGAGAGAGAGAGAGAGAGGAGGAGAGGGAGAAGAGAGAGGAGAGAGAGGAGAGAGAGGAGAGAGAGAGGACGAGAGAGAGAGAGAGACGCGAGGAGAGAGAGAGGAGAGAGAGCGAGAGAGAGGAAGAGAGAGAGAGAGAGAGAGAGGAGGAGAAGAGAGAGGAGAGAGAGCGAGAGAGGGCGAGAGGAGAGGAAGGGAGAGGAGAGGGAGAGAGAGGAGAGAGAGGAGAGGAGAGGAAGAGGAGAGAAAACTTAAAGAAGCAGAAATATATCTACACGAATAGACAATAGAGAAACTGATGTATCTTTCAAAAAAGTTTGGAAGCAGGTGAACCAGAGAGCAAGGAACTTCGGGGAACGCGGCGAATTAAAAAGCAAAATGTTCAGAACCTCTGAGGGGTGCCAAATCAGAACAGGTGAAGATATTATAAAATGTTCCAAAAAGATTTCTGTGACAGAGGGACGCGAACTTTATTTTTTTATTGTTGATAAACAATCGAGCGACTGGACTGTCTAGATAGGACCCAGATGGATGATAGATTCAGGCCGAAGACATGTGCTAGCGGGTGCTGGCAAGGTATTGTGTTTTTTGGAGAGTGAATTGTTATAAGAGGAGTGTATTGGGAACCAGAAATGCGGCGTTTAGTAGGTTGCGGATAAACGCAGTTGTATGGAAACATGGGGTGGTGAGCCTAGCTGCTGATGAAATGGTGGGTGGAACGGATTTGCACGCCGACGGCAACGCTATTAAAGAGAGGGAAGTGAGCATTCTGCAAACATTGCCCGCGCGTACGGAATGAATATAAATTTTCCAGTGTTGCCAACGCCGCTCGTGCCGAAAAGATTGTTTTAAAATTTGTTAAACAGAGTTTTGGTCTCAGGTAAATACATAATAGATGTAAAGAAATTTATTAATACAGAGAGGCACGACGGGACGGTCACAATACACTGGAGAGAACAACCAATGCTTAGGAAGCGTGACACTAGAGAGTACGCCGCAATATTCCCGAGCGTTTCCCTGTCTCCCTCTAGCACATTGGAATACAAGAATTGGGGCGCGAAGGGTAGCCCGAAATTTCGGCAGAGGGACGAAATGGAATGAGAATGATTAATAATAAAACACAAGTGGTATAAAAATAAATGTTATTAATTTAAATTGATTTGCATTAAAATTAAATTCCTCAAGGTTCCTAAATTATCATTAACATGAACTCAATAAAAAAATTAAGTTTTCTTAAAATGCCTGAATAATAATTATAAAGAAATACATTAAACTAATTTTCTAAATTTCAATCAACAATCAAATTTGTGTTTGCTCTTCAGTACCCTCTCATGGGCGTAATAAATTACTTTTTTCTTCGCTTACTCAAACTTGAAAATAATGGGGATGTTGGGAGCTGCATTATCTATAAATGTTAATAAAACAAATGATGGTTCATAATATTCAATATCATCGCACATTCAAAAATGTGACAAGCTTATTCAATTTCTGTCTTACAGATCTTTTCTTTCCATGTTAATTTATTGTGACATTCTTTGATACTGCTCTTAACACATTGACTGCCAAGGTATTTTGCTGATGTTCTGTTCCACAGCGTCTGTAATTTTTTACATGGTATTGTGCTGTTTTTTGCATATAATACTATAATTTTCGTATTCTTAATATTAGGCCTCATTATTTTCATTGTGGGTGGGCGAGGCTCGAATGTGACCCTCGTGATGCATTTGCCAGCTGACACCATGAGAGACCTATTTGGGACTCACGTCATTTTGTTTTGATTTTTAATTGAAAACAGTTTCCGCGGTAAAATGTTGAAATTATGTTAATCTTTTGGACAATGGTCTATGCTAATTTATCATCCAATTATATTAAAAATTAATGAAATGCGGCAGCAGTGTGAGAGAACAGCAATGTTACTATTACTCCTTTTTTTAAAGCATCCTTCGGATCACCCTTCCTATTGCTTTGCAATGTACCCACAAAGTGAATACCTGCTTTCAGAAGCTCTTCCTCCAAATGAACGCCACTGTACTAGTTATGAACAGTGAGTGTTCTACCAAAGTGTAAATATGGCTCACACTACTCCATTACAGTTTTTATGACCAGTCTTTCCTGCAGTCTTTTCCTTTCCAGCGTAAACATTGCATTGGCAAGTGTAGTGATCAAATGAAGTTTGAAAACTTTTAGTCCATATTTGTGACGTTTACTTTTTATGTAGTCTGAATATTATTTTTCCTGGAAAGAGGATCATAGTTTCATCTATACATATCACTTTTTCAGGGACAGGAACTTGCTGAAATTTTGAGGCAAGCATATCAATAGTCTTCAAATTTGTGCAGGCAATGTCCAGTTGAAACATTTTCATTGTTACCACAGTGAAACATTCGAAGAAGCAGTTCTAATATATTCCTTGGCATTACATCTTGAACTGCATTAGTGTAAATAACTACTTCTCTGCCAGTAGAAAGCTACAGAGGGAAGATTGACCTGTCCCATCAACAAACCAAAAATAAAAACAATTTCTCCATTTCTGCTCTGTTTGTAGGGATCCATTATAAAAACCCATTGTCATCCGAAAGTGTTTTGACAATACCTGACTAGCATATCTGTTTGTCTACATAACTAAAACATCTAGCACATCGTTGTCCAAAAATAATGCAAAGAAGTCGTGAGGTGAACTATCAAAAATCAATTCTAAGAAATCCGGATTTATACCAACTTCTTCATTGTTTGAGTTGTACACAATTTGGCATGAATGCTGAGTAAGATGTCATCACGATAAATCAGATCATACCAGGTTTAAAGTATTTGATCGGTGTATGTTCCTGTTCATTGCACTGCTACGGTTATCAGATTCATCAAACAATAAATAAAGCACACAATGTTTATCATGCATAGGTAAATCAGACATGATTTCATTGTCATCAGTAGTAGCATTGTCATTAGAACCCTCACTACTTAATGAATACAAATCCTCCCTCCCGTCCAAAAACCCCTCTTTGTCGTTTTTGTTGAGCAAATAGATTGTCTCCTTCTCGTCCATTGCTACTTGAAATAAAATTCACGCAACTACAATGACTCGGCGAGATAGTGTACTACATGAAAAAGACTTTGTACTGCCGATATAAAATCATATTTAAAATTACACTAATTCATTCTTTAATTTTCCATTGTATATAAAATGTTTAAGTAATAGTAAAAAAATCTATATGTTAATAAGTATTGAAAAATTAATAAATATTTAAAGAAAATATTACAAAAATTATTTAATACTTTAAATTATGATACACCAATGTTACAATCGTAATTTTGTTCCTGAGCGTCTTTCCTATTCAGAATGTAATTGAATTCAATGTTAAATGAGGGACAAATCGGAACCTCTAGGCCTGAAAAACAAGACAGCATTGAGGGTCAATATTGGTCCTCAGACTCTCTGCAGCCTAAAGCATTGAGTATCGTATCTGACCGTCATGGCAGTCAATGTGTTAATTGAAGGGTGGAATACACTCTTACAATTTCTTTTAGCAATTTTGTTTCATGCAAATCTATACAATCAATCACATAATTAATTGAGCAACCATAGAAATAATTATTGAAGTTTAAAATAATAAATGTGAACTTAGGATTTATGAATGATCCATACAATTTTGGAGCCTGGCCTCCCATGCCCGATAGTGACTTGGATCCGGGCGAGCAAACCAAAAAAACTTGCCTTTGAAAGTAAATTGGCGTTACAATGCGGCGGAGACAAAGCATATGAAGGGCGAACCATGAAAATCGCCTATCTGTAAGTTTTATTCATTTCTATTAGAGCACATACAGTAATTAGGACTTTAGCCTCACTTGTCTAAGGGCATACCGTATACTAAATTTTAACCAAAACTTGTTCACAAATTACTTCCAATCACATTGAAGGTCACTCCAGAGATTAACAGGAAAATCAAACACGAAGGAATTGCAACTTATTTCAGCAACATGATTTTCACTTCTGGTCTAACCTAGAAGTGCAAGAAATTATAAACATGTATACAGCTGAGGTAAATTTACTTCACATATACTGTTAGAAACAATGATCACCGTCAAATTAGAACTATAATTAATATTAACCTGATAGCAATCCTTGAGATGCTTGCTGCAGAGTGCTCTTATCGATGGTTTCCATTTCTATCTACAGACAAGATAAATCTATTTGTTCAAAATTCCTGGTCAAGAAAAAGGGAATCTGCTAAAAGTAGAAATAAAATACGTATTTATATAGAATTTATCTTTAAAGGGTTGTGATATAGCATCTGACAATAGCATCATTTCAAATACATTAGAAAGAGACATTTCTTATGATGAAATATTGATACCTGACAATATCTCTCTTTATTTATCAAAATAAAAAAGGTATCTACTTCACCAACAATCCAATTAAAGACATTTCTTACTTTCGAAACAGAATCCCACTTCCTGTTTCTGGAGTTATTTACAACCGCACGCAACATAATAATTTCCCATTATGTTTCTTGTTAAAAGCAAAATTAATCGAAATAGCCACAACCTTACCACGTCGTACCAAAACACATTGGAATACGCTCCAAGTTTGCCAACTCACCAGAACAGGTGGGTGTCACGCTCCTGAAGGATTTCCAGCATTGCAGTTGTTCAAATACTATAGAGATAGTATTTGTTTGTTGATCCAGTTTATGTGAAAAGTTGGTTGCATTGACATGTGCCATCATCAAAGATGTTGCAACTGTAGATGTATCATATAACTGTAGTTATAAGTTCCGATGAGTTCTTTGCTCATCATTAAAGAACAAAGCGTGTGAAAAACTGGCAAGAAATCTTCAGCGATAACGCATCGTACATTGAACGTGAAGAAGTGGAGGTGACATAAAGTCTTGAAAAAGGACATTTGATGCACCTTCTTGAAACTTTGCGTAATTCAGTGGCACCTAAAACTTTTAGGGTTACTTATTTTGTGTCCGAGTTTGTAGATTTGAGGTTATGACTTAGAACTACGTTAGTACCTTCATATTTCACGGAGAATTTGCATTGTGTTACGTCTTGTCATGTCAAAGGTATAAACTTCCAGATTTTCTCCCACGTCTTATAAATTTGAAATTTTTAAAAATACAAATCAAGTTTCTTTCTGCAGATACCTTTTAATGCAACATATATCAAAAGATTTGTGCCTGATGCTCCATTTATTCGTGGAAGACCTGGAGAAGTATTGCCAGAAGCATACAAAAAATTTTGGCGCGAATGGAAAATTCAGAAACCCAAACCAGTTCACTACATTGCAGAACCTGGAAGATGGAAAAGGAACCCAGAAACTGGTGAAGTGTATGTTCACCAAATTCAAGTATTAATACTTAGATATCCATGAATTTTTTAAACCCCATCATACAGATTTATAACTAAAGGTGTAAGAGTTGTTAGTTGTTTTTTTAACAAAGAACATTCTTCAAGGCTAATTTTCTTAATCCTACAGTGGTAGTTGGGTCTACCAGTTATAGTATCAATTATTTCAACATATCATGAAATTGACTCCACACTTACAGTTGACACACACAAGTTTAATTTTCGTCTACCTTCCAAAATAATGATTTTCTTTGGAATTATAATCAGTACTATATTTCATTAATAATGTTGAGTGAAAGAGAAACTTGTGACATAAGGAAACTGTTGGTTCTGACTGACCCATTGTTACCCCTCATACTTCTTTCTACAATGATTAGACTGTTTGTTAGCACTTAATTTTTGAACAGTGTTAGTGATAGCTAGTTGAAGGATTGCTTGTGTGTTACATACATATGATTGAAATAGATGAAGAATATAAAAGTAGAGCTTAGCAAATAAGATGGATGTTAGAGGAGGTGCTAATTGCATCAAGTGAAAATGCATAATAGATTTCTACTTATTCAGTGAGAAGGATTCTGATAGTGAGGCAGAAGGTGAAACTGAATATTGATAGCAATTACAGCTCACACGTCTTAGGAAAAGCAATAGGCAATATATATATTCGAACGTCTCGTAGCAATACAAGCATTGTTACTACACGTTTACCAGCAGTTCGCATCAAAAGCTCCAACAAAGATATGTTGTGTAATGATTTTGTCTGAAGATCTTTTGTAATTTGTTTTATTTCTTATCTAGAATAAATATATTTTACTGAGAAAGAAAAAAATTCATTTCTATAAATAATTCAGAAGAAATGTATGAATGGGTCTCTCAGACCCAACATTACCACTCGTGAAATTTTCTTGCATGCTACCTCTGTAGGGTTAATTATACATATTTTATCTTGAGAAGATAGGGTATATGTATATTGTTTTTTTACTAATAAATATCTTCGGAGTGTATTTAATACTCTTATAGGAATCACAGTTTAACTGAGCACACCCTCAGCAAAGCTGATAGATTAATTTTGATTTACAATAATTTAGAAGAATAGAGAAGCATTATATGACTAAAAATTTATAAATTTAATTTCAGGTCAAAAGTGCAGAATGTTCCAATTCCATTGAAATTTCCAAAAGACAGTCATCAACAGTTATGGGGTGGAGAAGGTGTTATTCAAGGATACCAGAAGAAGGGAAAATATAATCATAGAGTTCCTCACTTTTGGGTCCCAAACTTAAAAAGTACCATTGTTTATAGTGAAATATTGAATAAGTACATGTCTGTTGTAGTAGCGGATAATACAATGAAATTAATACATGAAAACTTTGGTTTTGACCATTACATTTTGAAGGTAAGGATCATAGCAATACAATCGTGTTGAAGGCTCTCCATTTGTCAATTTGTGTTTTGTCATTGTTTTAGACACCAGCTTGTGACTTGCAGTCAGATCTAGCTTTGAAATTAAAACGTAAGTTATTAACAGCTTTAAACAACAAAGATTTGAACCATGAAAGTCAAGAGAAAAATGAAATGGTATATGAAAAATACAAGCAATATCTGTCCAAAGTAAGTGTTGATTTTATTTATTATTTCTTTTTACTTTCTCGTACATGAAGTATAGAGAAAGGTTGCTTTTCCAAAAACATTTACCCTTTCTATATTGCTATACTGCTTGTATGAGAAAGTATTGTAAAACTGCAGAAGTACATGCTTTGGGGATTGCTGATACTGAGAAATTGTTATTTTCTTCCCTCCAACCTGTGTCTGACTGGACAACACTAGTGGCTCAACTGTTCACAGAATTTTCGTTCAGTATGGATCTTCCCCCCATGATCTTTGTACTCGTGCCCTTGCACATTTGAAAGGGGCCTTTTTATTTTGAGGAATTTTAATACTACATAAAAATCCAACAACAATCTTGAAATTTTCTTTCAATTGGTCCCACATTTTTTCTTTAATATTGTTGTTTCTGTAGAGCATATTTAATTACTGAAGTGTTTGTAGTATAGATGTTGCAATATTAAAATAGTACTACATATCAACGATACAAGAAAGTATATGGTGTTTTAGCTCGACCAGTTAATTATGAATTTGTTTCTAAAGGTGATCTTTTGCTGATGTTAAGTTTTTATATATTAATTCAATAATACATATCTATTTATATATCTTGTATGATATAAAATTATTTCAATTTCCCTTTCTTTCAGTACACAGCGGAAGAAATAGAGTGGTATGGTTTAACTATGGAGGAAGCTCTTACAAAATATAATCAAGAGAAGGAAGATAGGACGACAATTGAGCCTTTGAAGTTGCAATACCGCCTGGACCTTATTCAGGAATTGTTAGATAGGGGCAGAGAGACAGAGCCAGTTCCTGAAGAGTAAGTACATTTACATTATTGCAGACAGAGCCAATTTATTCCAATAGCTTCTGCAACATCCAATTGGCTGCTCGCTATATGTGCATATAGGTTGCTCTTTTGCCAAAATGAAAATGAACATTTACTTCCTCATACTTCATGTAGAATAAGTTATGTAATGTTGCAGGAAAAGAGTTGATATTTTGACAGAATTTTTCTTTAAGATTCTTGATAGAATAGTGCGAAGTTTGCTGAATAATAAGTTGAATTTTCATTAAAAGTTCTGGAATTTTGAAAGTACAAAAGTTCAGACCTCTTTCAACTTTCTTGTATATATCAGTGTTGAAACTAGAGATTTCTTTATGGTAACCTATTTCTCAATATTAGATACTTAAATAATTTTGTGTACACTTTCTTCAAAGTTTTTGTAGTTTTTACAATTAACAGAATGTTTGTCCAGTCATCATTTGGTCATTAGAATACTTTCATACAGTTGTAATTTTGTTCTTCATTAATATCTGTCCACAAGTTTTTCACCCAGTCCTTTTTGGTGAAATTTTATCCTGCACCCTGGAATGTGCATGATTAAATTCAAATTTTTTCTTGAAATAATTTAGCTACACCAAGGAATTATTACAAAAAGAAATACACAAACCAAAAAATGGACATTTATTACATAATAGAAATCATAAATCAATTACAGTTTTTGTTTTAAAATGTGTAATTTCCTTTATATCAGTCTTTACCTTTGTGATTCTGCAAGTTTGCTATGTAGTTTTAGATAGTATAAAACTACCCTCAAGTATTATTTCAGTGGTAGTTGGTGTTCTTTGTATTCTTTATGTTTATTGTAATATCTTTCTATGTGTTCATCATGTTCGTGATTTGAAATATAGTTTTGGACAAAAATGCTATGACTTTCTCCAGTGCACCGTTATTCCATTATGGTCAGTCAATACATATATTCGACCACTTTTCTCAGAACTGAAAAATCTATGGGTAAATTACAAATTTAGTATTGGCTGAAAATGCACTGAGCTTACCACCACTAGACTTAAGTGTGTTGAAAAAGTATTTCTGAACAAAATTCATTAAAGGATTTTTGCATTAAGTTCTATTGTGTCAAAGTTCAAGTGTTTTTAAAACTGCACTTTCAATATTGAAGCTAGAGATTTCTTTTATAATGTAATCTATTCCTCATTACACCTTTACATCAATTTTTTATTTATTTTAAAATTTTTGCAATTTTGGAGAGAATTTTCTGAAATGTTTAGAACAGTGAGAGTAGTTCTTCTCCACAGCTCAATTGTTAAGAGCATTTGTGTGAAGTGCTGGATATCTTGAATTTGAATCCTGACCCATGTGCGACTCTTTTATTGTGAGTAGTATAGGTCACATACATTGAATTCAAGTGCAGAAATGTTATTTCCAAAAATAAAAATTTTAGTATCTGCTGCATTATTTTATTAAAAGCTTTTTACTTTCTTTAGTATTAAGTAACTGTGGCAGTTAATGAGAGAATATGTGCTACAACAGCGCTTGTTGTACTTCCACACTTCATACATTTAAAATAGTTGTTTTGTTCATAATTATAAATTTCCTAAAAACCTTTATTGAAAACTCATAGAATTTTTTTTCACATTAAAAATGTGAAATTGTTTTATAGTCGTTAGAAATGTTTACAGCACATATGCTAATTATGATTAAACGTAATTTCTTTAAAATTTTTAGTTTTAACAAGTGGTCATGAATACAGACTATGTCAAATGTTTGTGATTATGTTGAATATTCAAAATTCCTTAGCTATTTTTAAAATATTTACAATAAGATTCAATATTTAGTTAGTATTTTAATAAGCCGTATCTGAAGTACAAAATATGAAAACTAAGGTTTGCATTTTGATCTCAGTAACAAGATGCATTTAGACAATGACCATGCTTGCTACCTCTTTATTTAGTGTCTTGTTCAATTAAAATTTATTTCGAATTTCTTGTAAAACCATTTTGAAATGTTTTCCATGTTTGTTATTATTTCAGGAAGAAATCATGGTTATTAAGAATTAACCCGTTTCATAGCAAGAAATAATGAATCAACCGTTAAGATAGACAATGATTTTCTAATTGGAAAAATAAATAGTATTAAAGTTACTGTTCTGTAATAGTCATGTAATATTAAAAACTGTTCATTAAAAAAAATCTTTTGAACTGGCAAATTCGTTTCATTTCATTATTTTGTCCCATGCCACAAGTAAGAAAGTTACTCAGGCCATGAATAAGAGTGAGTTAATACAAAATGTGGGAGTACGTATCATCAATCAGTACATCCAAGTGCTGATCAATGTAATTTGTCCACAAGTATTTGAAAAAATGCACAAATTGGCAAAGATAGGCATCAAGCAAATGTCCTTTCACTGCACAAGAAAGGTTGTGTGACTAATTCCAGAGGTCTAAGGATTTCCTAGTCTTGAAAATCCACCTGAAAATGTTGGCAGGAAATTGATTTAGAATTTTCTGGAAGAAAGAGGATATTCAAATGGTAATTGTGAACTTGGTGCCACCACAGTAATAATAATGATAGAAAAGAACTCTGTTTGACCAACAGGTTTTAATTGCTGACATAAGACAATTTTTTTTGTAAATTCCTTTTGTATGTAAGAAGCGAAGAAATTATTCAAGATACAAAAAAACACTAAGTCCAATAGGAAAGAGTATTATCTCCTCTTTGAGAAGCACAGAAACAAGAAACAAAATACTGGTTTAAAGACTCTAAGATGCATTGTTTCTAAGTTTCGCACAATGATAAAGTGTCTTGCAGCGTAATATTTTTTGCAAGTCAAATGTGCTCCAGATAATCCAAGTAAGTCATAATTTGCAAACTTATGTTTTTCATCTTGAACCTATTTGGAATCATTCCTTGGGGAGGGATTCTAAATAGGTTCCTTGTTAGCAGTGATACACTATGGGGGGTTGTCCATGGTTTCTTATAAAAGGGGTTAATTTGTCATCTTTCCTTAGTGTATTCAGAAAAAAAATTGTAAATATGTCAGGTACTATTTGAGTACCGGAGGTCACAACATGAACATTGATGAAATCCTCTATCATTTCAAGATCGACTGTTTTTCAAGTCAAAAACAAATTGTGGATCTTATATACTTTTATAAAATTATTAATTGTCAAATTGATTTCCAGAAATACTAGAAGAATTTGAATTTGTCCAAAACTTGGCCTGCGATCCTATAGATTCTTGAACTTCGAGAAGACGTCACAAAACTATGTATATCATTGTCTAAAAACAGAATAGCAAATCTAGTAAAGGATCAGTCCAAGTCAACAAGGGTCCCAACCCCGACAGTTTCAGATTTTTTCCAAACTTTGTGTTTCTCAAGTACCGCTTACATTATATAAAATGATTGCTTATGAAGGCTGTAGCAAATATAGTTTCCCATTTATAATGATTTGAAACTATGAAGAATTGTGAAATAACTGTGTGCATTACTGCAAACTGCATTATCTCAGTCAGTTCCAAAAGATAAAAAAAATTGTTCAGATACATATTGAAGAATCAAAAATATATTTTTAAAGGTTTCCAAAATAAGGGATACATATTTTAAAATATATTTAAAGGAAATGCATATTTTTAAAACCAACAAATAAATAATTTTGTAGTTCTACTTATATAAAACCTGTATAAAAAGTTTGGATTTGCAATGAGAATGGGATCAGGAGTTAGAAATTATTGGACATGCGTCTCATGATCGTAATGGAAATCGAGGACTGCTTGTTGCTACTTCCAATGATCAAAGTCTAATGTACACTGAAATCACGTGAATGTGGCTGAACTGTCATCCATGATCAATAATATAAGGTAGAATCAAACCTCAAAAGAGAGTGAGCTAAATAGAGAAGTTTCATGTTCAGTTGTCTAAGAAATTATAATAATAACAAGCATTTTCGGAAAGGAAATTTAATATATTGGTACATACACTTGACATTTTATTTCCGAACTTCAAATCTCAAGTTGTGGTGCTGTTATGGGTTTTCACTTGAGAGAGTCTTTGCAAGCACGACACGTTCTTACAGGGGGAGAAAACAATGAAATTGACTTGTGCCTAATACTGGCAGCGCTCTTGAAAATCTTCCTTCTAGGTCCCTAGCTTCTTGTTCATACTATTTGTTCTTCAGTTGTGTAAACATCATTGCTATTTTTCAAGTTATTCCTTCGCCCCATAAAATAGTTATCTGGCAGTATTGATGTGATCTGCACTCGCTTGGGGAGCCGCCAAAAGAGAGGGCGACAGAAGCAGCAGCAGCAGCAGCGGCGCCGGCTCGCGCGGCTCAACGCCGCAAAGTGCGCCCCCGCGGGGGACAAGCTCTCCCTTCAGATATACTCAGGGCATTGAGAGAAACACACACTAAAATGACATAGTCACAAATGAGGCCACTAATCGCAAAAACTGGCAAACGACTAAGGTCCGTCGCGAACCTACACAAACTCTTTACACCTAGTAGTTAAACAAAGTTAAAGTTACACCTAGTAGTTAGCAAAAGGCGTGTGCACAGCAAATACGATCGAAAACCACACATACCTTCGGCTACGCCAAAAAATAAGCAGGAAGCGTCTCCCGGCAGTAGGGCGCATCCAAGCGATATTGTAATTAGTGACTACAAAGCGGCAAAGTATTACGGTCATTCTCTTCTGGACTGTAAAATTTTGACTACTGTAGTGAATATTAAACATCTTCATGATTAACGGCGATTTTGGCTTTTCCCGATACATCTTCTGGAACAATCAGACGAATAGTTTCCGAGAAAGACGAGAAACAGAAAAAACCTCAACTGATCAAGTTACAAAACGACCAAAACCTGCCAAATTTCGAAAAATATTAATTTCAGCACTGCTATATGTAATTCTGTATAAAAGTAGAACACATTAAAATAAATTAATTGGTGCAATACAAACTCCAATCAGACGAATAGTTTCCACAATAGGCGAGAAGCAGAAAGAAACCTCAACTGATCAAGTTACAAACGACCAAAACGTGCCAAATTTCGAAAAATATTAATATCAGTACTACTATCTGAAATTCTGTATAAAAGTAGAACACATTACATAAAATTAATTGGTGCAAAGCAAACTCCAATCAGACGAATAGTTTCCAAAATAGACGAGAAACGAAAGAAACTTCAACTCATAAGATACAAAACGACCCCTCCTTACGTGCCAAATTTGGAAAAATATTAATTTAGCACAGCTATCTGTAATTTTGTATACCAGTAGAACACATTAAAAGCAATTCATTGGTGCAAAGCAAACTCCAATCAGACGAATAGTTTCCGAGATAGACAAGAAACAGAAAAAACCTCATTTGGCAAAGTTACAAAATGACCCCCCCCTTATGTGACATAATTCAACAAGTATTAATTTCAGCACGGCTATCTGTAATTCTGTATACATGTAGAACACATTAAAAGAAATTGATTGGTGCAAAGCAAACTCCAATCAGACGAATAGTTTCCGAGATGGACGAGAAACAAAAGGAACCTCAATTGTTCAAAGTACAAAACGACACCCCCTTACGTGCCAATTTTCGAAAAATATTAATTTCCGCACTGCTGTCTCTATCTGTATACAAGTAAAACACATTAAAAGAAATTGATTGGTGAAAGAGCAAACTACAATCAGACGAATAGTTTCCGAGAAAGGCGAGAAATAAAAAAACCCTCAAGTGATCAAGTTAAAACGACCAAAACGTGCCAAATTTCGAAAAAATATTAATTTCAGCACTGCTATTTCTAATTCTGTATACAAGTAAAACTCATTAAAAGAAATTAATTAGCGCAAAAAAACACCAATCAGACGAATAGTTTTCGAGATACACGGGAAACAAAAGCAACCTCAAATGTGCAAAATACAAAACTGTTCCCTTTACGTGCCAAATTTCGAAAAAAAAATTTCAGCACTGCTATCTCTTAATCTGTATACACGTA